GGGCCCAGCCCGGGTTTCGATCGCGCAAATAACAAACCGACAGAGAGCGTACGCTCGCCACTTGTCGAGAGCGGTTCGAGCTCGTTAGCTCGATGAACTTGGACCGTTCTGTGACAATATTCCCAGATATTCGATAAAGCCGAGCCGGGCCGATGCGTGTCGGCTCCGGAATTTTGCCTCCTCGCGCGGACAGAGATGTTTTCGTGCCCTTCGCGCTTTCCCACGCTGGGAAGGGAATAAACTGACCAAAGGGAATTGTCTTAATTATAAATACTTGCTAACGGGAGGTAATCTTCTAAGTAGCCAGTAGTAATTAAAAAACTTCCATGACTACTTGACCATGTCTGGCAAATTTTTATGGTTAAACTCGCAACGTTTCGACCGTGGTTTGCGGTCCTTTTCAAGGGTTAACAAGGAACAAATCTTGATTTCACGAAAGGCAGAACAGAGAGGGACCACAAACCATGGTCGAAACGTTGTGAGTTGAAACATAAAAATTTGCCGGGCATGGTCAAGTAATTGTTCATTGAAGTTTCTTAAATATCTGCGTCGATCTTCGTTCGGAATAAAAGGAAACTAATATTGTCGAATCGGTATGAATTACATTAGATCGAAATTTTTGACGATTACAACTGACGTCCCTCTTTCGGGGCGCGCGATACAATTTTAGAGCCGAGGCGAATAGAAAGAAGAAGCGGCTGTGCAGTTAACGCTAATGTTGAAGATAAGTGTACCCCGCGAGAGCTTTATTCACATTTGTCCCGCACTTTTATCTCGGGCCGTTACGAAATCGCGATTAACGGCTCGCGACTTAACCGGGGAACGAGCAATCTGCTTTTTTTCTTTTGGCGTCGATTTAGTTAAGAGTATACTTTCTAGCTGATTTAGCGAAGCATGAAGCGGCGCGGCGAAAAGAAAAAGAGAGAAGGAGCCCGACGACACGCGGAGGGACGTTCGGGGTATCGGCCGAGAAAGTAACGCGACGTTGCGGGAAGACTGCATTCGGCCGTGGAAATACCGGCGCGGCCAAACGTGTCATCCGTAATGCACTGTGTGTGCGTGTGTGTGTGTACGTGTGTGCGAAAAGGGATTCTGCACCGAGCGGCTGCAATGGGATAAATGTATTCTAGTAGCGCGAGCGTGCACACCCCGGGACAAATAGAGTCGTTCTTAACTTCGCTCGATTATATTACGGGTCTCGAGAAATTACCGAGTCGCTTACATGCACGACTGGGGACGCGATTAAACTTTCCATCGGATATTTCTCGCCGTCACGAATAATAAGCAGGCTTGAATTAATAAGAAGGAGAAAGAGAGAGAGAGAGAGAGACGTTCGCCGAAGAGAGCGCGGCATTTACGCGAGGGAACGTTAATTATAATTTGGACTGTTATTTTAGCGAACGGGGTCAGGTGATTTCTATTATGCGAGACGCGCGCGCGACGTGTCCCGAAAAACTTTTTACATCTTTATGCCTTTGCGCGCGCGGTGGGGAATTTAATAGAGCGCGGCGCGAGAGATGATAATAATATTAGGACGTTTAACCGGTCTCGAGCGGTCTCGGACGCGGCGAAAATGAAAGTTCGCGCATTCGAGCCTTTCCCGGGGCCGGGAATAATCCGGGAGTGGAGAAGTGTATTGAATACGATAGCGTAGTTCCTTACTATTCATCCGCAATTAAGCGGTCGCGGCGAACAGTGATTACTGCCGGTACGTTTAATTTGCATGACAATGCAGCGATTCGCTCATCGACATGCACGTTTCGTTTCGGTTCGTGCGTCGAGACCATCGAGAAAGTATCGCGCGACGACGCGGGAATCGCGCCTCGGGAGATCGGCTCCTAATCGGAATACGTGCTCGCTTTGTGGAAGACAATCCGGGGCCGAAGCCGTCGTTGTCCAAGCCAAGTGCCGGGATTATCGCTCTGGGCTAATATTACATTTGCCGTACGACACATTTTTCAGGCGTGAGTGAAGCTTATTGTCGCCAGTGGTAACTAAACAAAGGAAAAATTCTTTAAAAATCGACCAGACTGGCAAAAAAAGTTGATCTTTAAGTCACAACGTTTCGACCTCTTCAAGTACACTCTGCAAACCAATTTCAAATGCTCAAACCGCAATATAAAGAAAGAAACGATAAAAAGAATTGTTAGACGATATCAGGCTGGCGGATGATTTATTTGTTTGATTCCGACGTTTTGGCCATACGGGTTGTGGTCCTTTTCAAGGAATTTGATAAAGTCCTACCTGTCCTACTGTGGTCGTTACGTCGGATGGACGTGCCTTCGAACATAGTTCTCCGAGTGACGCCCAGAGATGGATGTCAAACCTCCGTTTTTAATTTAATATCGATGACGTAATATTTATTACCAGATTCCTTGAAAAGGACCACAAACCCGTACGGTCGAAACGTCGGACTCAAACAAATAAACCGTCTGCCGGCCTAGTGTCGTCTAACAATTCTTTTTGCTGCTAATTAACTACTGGCGATTCGCATTCTTTCGTGTATAAAGGAAGAAACTTTTAGCATGTACATTACAAGTATGTATTACAAAGGGGAAAAGTACCTAATGTTGACTGAAAAGGCCGAGGGGGAAACCGCTGACCAAACCTTGTACACCAATGTCCACTAATGCCCAGTGGACATTACTTTATCTTATTTTATCTTTATAATGCCCCAGCACGATCCAATGCCCAAACCAATGCCCAAAATTGCCTAGTAATATCCAGTAATACCACAAATCTGTACACCACAATGCCCTCAGCGGTTTCTCTCTCGGAAAAACTTTTTCAAGTGCGTGTTGATCGGCCGCTGAATAGAAGATTTCTAGATACTCGAGAATTTTACCATCCTGCAGCCAATCAACGCACTTAATAAAGTATCGGCCTTACTCGTCCCGAAAAACGACGCCCTTCCGGCGTCGGATTTTTTCCCCGGGAAAGTCTCTCGACACACATGGATAAATGTGTGTATTGCGAGTGCGTGCACATACGGCATTAATCACTCTAATGAACGACTGGGTGATATCTTTCGCTTCTGAATAATGTCATACCTCATATGAAATCACTATTTCTTAATGCCCCGCGACTTGGTAATTTATACGGCGATGTTTTATCGCAACGCGAGCTTGCGACCTTTTGTACTCCGTACAACACGCATTTTCTTCCCTCGCGACGCACCGCGACCGTTTCCTGTCGGACGTTGCCGCACGTGCTAAAGGAATGTATTGCTCGATTGTACGTTTTTTTTTCTCTCTCTTTATCGCACCTATCGTGTTCCCCGCGGAGAAAGGTCCGTATCACGATTAAAAACGAGACCGCGCTCACCCGCTGCGCGTGCATTACTTATGTTAATGCGTTTGGAAAAATTCCGCCGTGACCGCAAACATTAGCATCGCTTCTCGACAAGTCGTTCAACGTGTGTCAGATAACGCGCGTACGAGAAGGAAAACCATCCCGACCGACCTTTAGACGTCTATTTAAAGCAACTCTTCGCTCCGTACTCGCCATTTTGATTGCGTTACGTGTTGTGCGAGTTGAAATAATAAGAAAAAAAACGGATAATTTATACACGCGGTACTTCTAGAAGGGAACGCCAGTGGTTTACGAAACGGTCTTTCAGAGGAGAGAAAGTAAAATTTTATTGTCACTATTGAAGACGGCACGTTATTTCGTTATGCAAGTCACGTTGCACAAGTTTTGAATTCGAATTATTCAAATAACTTGATATAATATGACTTTTACTCTATGAACCAGCGATGAAGATTCGTAAGTGAAAGGTCATTAGGCCTAGGGAGATCGTGTGGTTATTAATTACTAGCCTAGCCTGCAATTATTAAATTGCGATTGTTATAGCCTTCGCCTGTGAATGGCGAATAGAAAATTGTAGAGCCCCGTTCTGCGCGTAGTATCGGCGTCACCGGAAACGCGACTAAACAGGTGTTTGCGCCAGCTGCGATCACCCTCGGCCGTGCCCTCGTCACGAATCCCTTCTGTCTCCTCCGTCTTCGTCCACGCCTTGCCTCGACTCGACCCGTCGTTCGTCGCTTCCACCGGCGCTTCCTAAAAGACCGGCAGTTATTCTCGGCACTGCGTCGTATAAGCGAATTCCAACCGCCGTCATATAAGCGAATTCGCTTTCCGTGAAAGACGATCGGGGACTCTCCCCGTTCCGAAGCGTTAGATGCTCGCGTCTGACAATTATTGCGGAAAGCGTGGACATAGTAAATGTAGACTGAGGCCCGGTATTTATAGTCGATTCTTAATTCAAAATCATCTTAAGTGTTGTCTTAAGACGCTACTACGGCTCTGTGATTGGTTGAAAACACATTAAGAGTATACTTAAGATGATCTTAAATATAAGAACGAACTATGAATACCGGCCTGAGCGTCCCATTGAATAAGCCGAAGCTTGTGAAGTGAGAAAGAAGATTTAAGAAGACTCTTTCTCTGCCTTACACCATCGTAAAAGAAAAGAAGCGTGATTCTCCCTTGTCACGATGGTGAGACAGAGAAAGACAGCCTTCTTAAATCTTCTCTGTCTCCCTCTTCACAAGCTTCAGCTTACTCAATGGGACGCTCAGTATTTACTGTGTCTACGGCGGAAAGTTACGCCCGACAATAAGTGATCATAACTTTATAATCTATAGCAGAAAACTCGACGGGGTAAGACGTGCCAGCGATTCTGCCGTGTGGCGTGCAATTGTCGTCTACAGTTGCCACACGTTAATAGATGTGTTGTTAAAATGTAGCTCTCGTGGGAAGATTCTGATACTGCGTAACCGAGGGGAAAAACCGCTGACCAAAATCTTGTACACCAATATTATCTTATTTTATCTTCATTATGCCCCAGCAAGGCCTAATGCCCCAAAAAATGCCTAGTAATGCCGCAAATCTGTACACCACAATGCTCCCAGCGGTTTCCCCCTTGTGCGTAAACTGTAAGAACGTCGCACTCGCGTTATGTGAACACGAACTAATCGAATGGCAATTTTGATTTTCAGCGTGGAGCGGGACCGGCTTCGGGAAAGAGAGCGACAGGCCCGCGCGGCGATGTCGGTCCAGGCGGAGCAGGTGGCTGCGGGAGGTGGTCCTGATACAAGACACCATAATCCCAACATGCATGCCTCTCATGCGCCGAACCTCTTCCGTGCCCCCGTCAGGGTAAGTACACTTTCCATTTATTCTGCCTCGGCGATATCGGCGAAAAATCGCCCGCCCCACACTTGCATGTCCCTGCGCTCGCGTACGGGCGATATCGATGTCCTTTTTTTTTTGTTCGGAAATATACCCGACGAGCATTCGCACTCGTTCGGGGAAATGTGGTATGGGTATCCCAGCTTTTTTACGTCTAAGATATTCATGGAAAGTTTACCATAGAGTTATTTTTCTTAAGTATCACGTCATCGCTATTGAGATTTATATCTTGAGAAATACGAAGTGATAAAGGATATAGGAGCCAAGGCAGGATGTTAGCGTCTAAATGATTATAATTTTTAAATTAATTGCGGAAAATATAATCATTTAGACACTAACATCCTGTTTTCGCTCTTACATCCATTATTACTTCGTATCTGTGATTTTACGTCAGAGCCTTATGAATTTTATTTGTTTACACATTGATCTTTATGTGACCAACATTTTCTAAATATAGCCGCGCGCGAGCGTCACAGACTAATCTAGCGCCGCGCGTTGCACCGTGATAAAATATTTCCGCGAATGGAAATTAAAACAGTTACTGTCTGGCGGCTATTAATTTATTGTCAGCTGTAATACTTTTTCTCTCTCTCTCTCTTTCGATAAAGGGAAGCAGCGTCACGCGTCAGTCAAATTGACACATCGAACATTTTGCGGTCTTTTTTGTCGGCGAGATGATGCCAAAAATGTTTCTGTACGGGGAAATGAAAGTAGCGACGAATGCCGGCCTGTCGATCAATTTCGCCGCACACGATTGCATTTCGCCGCGCGCATTTAACGGTCATACCGAGTTCTAAAACGGGTACGAGTCTATTTTCCCTTATTAAATGGCATTTTATTAAGGCACGACTGTTTGCTCGCCATTCGCGGTGGTTGCGAAGTCGCGAATAATTAATGAGCGAGAAGGCGAGAAAATCAGGCTGCCGTTCATTTCTTACAGTTTCTCTCTCTCTCTCTCTCTCTCTCTCTCTCTCTCTCTCTCTCTCTCTCGTCATATTTATTCAAGCAGAATCCCAGCCTCGCGTTGTCTGATCGCTTAATGGATCTTTCTCTTGCGTTTTAAGAGCCACTCCGCCCTTTCTCGCCCTGTCTTTTCACTACCGTCTAGTTAGTAATCGTAGGCACCACGCCAAGTAGATTCACTGACCGCTTCAATTAACGTTAACCGATAGCCTCTCCCTCTGGTCTTCACCCTGTGTATAAATCCACGGTAATACGCGGAGCGCTTAATGAATTTGCTCTCAATCACAGTCATTAACGCTACTCAATTTAAATCCCTGAATAAGATACTCGAGTTTTCGCTCGCTTAGCTACCGAAGATTAACGATCACGTGACTGTTATTGCACGTGGTGTGTACAAGAGTTGCGAATTTTACGAGCGATGGTTAAACATTATGTCACGCGTGTGCCCTCCAGTACCGAGGCGCTCACTTGAGGCACAGCTTCGTGGTTGCCACAGGACTTAATCGCTTCTCGGAAAACTGCAGGCAGAAAATGCGATTCACCGGGAACGTCGCTTCTGTTGTTTGCCAAGGAACGACTCCGTGCGTGGCTCGGCAGGTCTTTTCGCGGCCTGGAAAAACGAGTAACGTAATTATCCCAGCCCCGGGATCCTTCGCCTTCGACCTCGGGAGCTCCGATTCGACCTTTGTGACGGCCCATTGTTCAAGACGGTGTCTTCGCGTTGCTCATTACTCGCGTTATTCAGCGTTACGTATTACGCAACGCCATCGTGGGGCGTCTGCGCACCTTGATACATTCATTTCGCAAGACGTCCGGCGCGCCTCCCTCACAATCCCGTCAACTTTTCCGCGCGGAACCGCAGGGTTGCCGGGGGTAATCCATGGGTCCTTAAAGGCCTTCCGACCTCAATCTCGGATCTGGCGCGGCCGATAGCGGCGGCCGCCTTAAGGGCCTACAGGGAAACCTCGCACGGTCATTACGGACAAGTCGAGAACCCGTTGGATCCTCCCCGTGACTCGTAAACATGACCTTCTTTTTCCCCCCTTCTCCTCTTCACTTTCACCCCCTCTGGCTCTTATCTCCGCGCTGTTCTCCGCCGGGATTACTCCCGTCGGAATTTATTTCTAATCCGGCTGGAAAGAAAGGATCATTTCTTTCAGGGAACCGCGGCGCAGATATAAATTGAAAAGGATCTTGGCCGATTATTGCGAAAGAGGTTATCGCGAATCGCGCTCGTTTATGACGGTCCTCTTGCTCTCGCAGTTCTGGATAGTAAGATCATAGTATAACTAGTATCCCCACTTTCTGTCGGTCCTTAGGTCTTTTCTATCACGTGGTATTCCGCCATGGTTTTGGTATAAAATCCCGTCACACTGTCACACGCTGATTTCACATCCGTCTCATTGGCTCCACCAAAGTAATGGCGGATGCGCAAGAAGGATCGACGCAAAACAAAACAAATGACAGAGTGGGCGTGCTGTCTTACGATCCTGTGGATGATAATTCTTAGTTTCGCCCACGAGTTCCTTTTCCACGGACGCTGGAGAGCGAAAGAAATTCTTACGTCGAACGAAAAGAGATCGCGCTCCGTTAGAGCGACGGCGGTGAAAGCATCGATAACGATAACCGATAGAATCTCGCGCGCGCGCGCGCGCGCGCGCGAATTTCCACGCGGTTGAAGTTTTTTTCCGCGATCTCGCAACCGGACGCGACATTAAAATCGACACTTGGTTATTAATGACTTGGGAATCGTCTAACGTGCCCGGTGCTTTTTGTACGGCGGTGGAAACGAAAGAACTACTACTCGGCTCCCTTCGGCTTGTTAAACCGCTTAATTGCGTAACAGCATTCTCTCATTACGCTCGCGCGACGCACCGCCCCGGCATTGGATCGCTAATACTATTTCTTTCGCGGGACGCGAATGAAATCCCGGTCGCGCACCGATTGGTCCTTTCGCGTGCTCAACAGGTGTTTTCTCGACTTTTAACCCTCCTTAATGAGTGTTTTAACCTTCCCTAATGAGAACGTGACGAGAGCGATCCGATTCTGCCGAGCTTCGCGATCAACGGGGCGACGTTCCTCGTTTTCTACCGGCAGAGTCGTCCGTGTGCATTTCGATGGAACGGAATCTTAATCTTCCTGCGACTCGAGTGCAATCGTCTAGGTACGTCAGGACGAAGGAGGACTGGCGCTTATTCAACTCTCTGTACTTTTTATTCGCGCGCTTTTATTCGCATTGACGTAATAATTTTATCGTCTCCATTCGTTAAAGTGGATGAGAGGATCAAAGGTAAACGCGCGCACGCATCGGTTTCTAAACACAGTTATTACAAAGAGAGACATGTCGTCCGTTTCTTTGCCGTAGACGCGGCTGAGAGGCTGCCTGATCGGCTCCCCTAACAATCATAACTGTAACCGCGCGTTAGTAACCGTACGATGAGTTGCGAAGCCGCTTAGCGTCTTTGTCGTCCAAGCGGAACGCAGAGGCAGAAACGGGAAGCTCAAGAGGACGAAGAGGGAGAGAGAGAGAGAGAGAGAGAGAGAGGGAAAGCGGAGGAAAGGAAAGCAGGACTGTTAAAGCAGGAGGGATGCAGACAGAGAGGAAGGAGAGAAAATGGCGCTGGTTTCTTACGAGTTCGATCAGCTTTTATGACTTCGACTTCTCCCGCTCCCTCTCTCTTTTTCTCTTTTTCTTCTCTCCTCTCATTCTCTCTGTCTTGCTTTTCTGCCTGAAGCGAGGCGCAGCCGCGAACGGAAAAGCGGATTCTGCGACTTTTCCGCGACGCATCACGTAGCTCGTCTACCGCGCGGAATACCGTATCCGGGTAGCGTCGCCGCGCACTCCCCCAATATCGGGGATACGTGACACGTTGTTGCAACGCGCGCGGGGACTGTGTGAAATATCGACTGCAATCTGCGCGATCATTCGCGCGCCGCGAAAATGCGCGCGTGCCGGTTTGTTGCGCCCCGCAAGAACGGCATGTAGCCTCGAACTGATAAACGGGGGGTACGCGGTGCGCGGATTATCGGATTCCGGTGGTCCAAAATAACGCAAGAGCCCGAGGAGGAGACGCGCGAAAGACGTCCGGGAGGCCTCGCGGCTGCCGCTTCGCCGACTTTCGCGCTGCGTGGAAAGTTTTTAAGAAAGTTCCCAAGTCTACGTGATATCGCGGATATCGTGGATTTCTAATTAGTTGAAACGAATATCGGTGAACGATCTGCTTTACGTAACAGTTCTTCTTTAGAACCGCACGCTCGTCGAAATAGGAATCCGCAGCTCTATTTAGCGCTGCTGTATCTTTGTCTATGGAAATCCTCATCCCGGCCTGTCCGTCCTGAAAATCGCCCCGAGTGCGCGCGCGCGATAGTTCATCCCGCTCCAGCTCGATGTTTAAAGTTGGTCGGGATTAAAGCTCGCTAGTTGGGAGATTACTCGGTCCGATAAATAGAGCGGCGCGCGGATCGACCTCGTAGAGACGCTATTAGTTGTGTTTTCCTTCCAAAGTCGGATACTATGGTCTCTAATAGCGACATTAGTCGATAAAGCACGGCCGGGTTTTCCCGTATTTTTCATCCGCGCGCGACCAGAGCGAATCGATTAAACGAGAGTATCGATAACACGATTTCCGGTATACATTCGTTAAATGAATGACTCGCGCGCGCACTGCTCATTGAAAGAGGTCGATCTATCGCGTCCGAAATCTGCAACTCCGGAACACGCGCCGCGGTTTCGCTCGACTGTCCAGCTCGATCAACAGCATCCGGCGCGAGATATCGTTACGGAGCCTCGTCGGAATCTCGCGGATGGCGGCACGCAAGTCATACGCGCGCGGGGGCGGAAATGAAGATGCCGTACGTGCGGCGAAAGAGGGATCGTTATTGCGTCGAGCGTGAGGTTCGACCATAGACTTATATACTAGACCGCGCCGTCCGTAGGAGGCGTCGGTCGTAAGAAAGAGAGAGAGAGAGAGAGAGAGAGAGAGAGAGAGAGAGAGAGAGAGAGA